AAATTAAAGATATTTATAATAAAGTTAAGTAGCATTAATACAAATTAAAGAATTTTATAATAAAGTTAAGTAGCATTAATACAAATTAAAGGTTTTTATAATAAAGTTAAGTAGCATTAATACAAATTAAAGAATTTTATAATAAAGTTAAGTAGCATTAATACAAATTAAAGGTTTTTATAATAAAGTTAAGTAGCATTAATACAAATTAAAGATATTTATAATAAAGTTAAGTAGCATTAATACAAATTAACAGTTTATATAATAAAGTTAAGGAGCATTAATACAAATTAAAGATATTTATAATAAATTTAAGTAGCATTAATACAAATTAACAGTTTTTATAATAAAGTTAAGGAGCATTAATACAAATTAAAGATATTTATAATAAAGTTAAGTAGCATTAATACAAATTAACAGTTTTTATAATAAAGTTAAGGAGCATTAATACAAATTAAAGATATTTATAATAAAGTTAAGTAGCATTAATACAAATTAACAGTTTTTATAATAAAGTTAAGGAGCATTAATACAAATTAAAGATATTTATAATAAAGTTAAGTAGCATTAATACAAATTAACAGTTTTTATAATAAAGTTAAGGAGCATTAATACAAATTAAAGATATTTATAATAAAGTTAAGTAGCATTAATACAAATTAACAGTTTTTATAATAAAGTTAAGGAGCATTAATACAAATTAAAGATATTTATAATAAAGTTAAGTAGCATTAATACAAATTAAAGGTTTTTATAATAAAGTTAAGGAGCATTAGTACAAATTAAAGGATTTTATAATAAAGTTAAGTGGCATTGATACAAATTAAAGAATTTTATAATAGAGTTAAATGAGCCACACCTAATTGCCTCGTGTTGTCATTTCGAGTTCAGGCAGAGAACAGTTTTTAACAATTGAATAAATGAAAAAATGAATATAGTTAAAAGTTTATTGTTAATTTCAACTAATTGCGTTACTGCGACCCACATGGCGAAAACATATTTTTATATTTTATGTTTTATTTTTATAATAATGTAACTCATTTGTTTGTATGAATTGAATTCTTAATTTACGTGTGTCATAAATGACTCAAATAAATAGTTTATCTATCTATCTGTCTAGTATTATTTACGAAATACGATATAACTTTTAATGCGAAACATTCCACAGGTATGTTGGACGATTTTTGAATGGATGTATTAGTTTGCGATACCAACGTGCTAATATTCACTTTCACTTCTGTCGACTTTCTTTTTTTATTCGAAAAAGTAAACTTTCGGGATTGTCTCATGTTATTTTTAATTTTGTATTTTTATTTTTATAACTTGAATATATTATTTTATTAATTAGATTATAATAATAAAATAAATGACAGGGAAAATTTTACGTCACAGACTAAGAAAAATATAGCGTACACTAACTTGTTAAATTATAAAAGTAATTACAACGAACAAAGTAACAAAAGGTCAACGTAAATTTTTTATAACACCATTAAAGCCGCCGGCAATACACTTTGAAACATGGGAAAGATCCCCGTACAACGATAAAACAATAAAATCTACTATGAATCGGTATCAATCTTGCGGTGGCATTCCGTATCTTTTTTAACGGACAAGAGCATCCGTTGAGCGATTACATTCAATCGAGTGATGTATCGATTCGGCCTGATCGATTGTATCGAGTCGTGAGATCGGTCTGCGCGACCGCCCGCAACAGCGGACGGGTTAGCTGAATCATTGTGGGTAGGTTTATCTTATTACACTAGTTTAGTGCTCCCGATCTATTTGTACTTTAGATTAGAGTAAAAAATATTTGATAGTAACTGTTTTCTGCGACTTTACCCGCGTGAATTTATTTATTTATTTACATTTATTCGCATGGCACATGGTACAAATTAGTTATTATGGGGAAAGGGATTGTTAGTAATGATGTTTAACAGCCCCATTGTTAGCAATATACTCTAATTGGTCAACCTCCACGCGGTTCCCCCTGGAAACTATCGTGAACAATTCTTGTTGAATTCGTCACGATGGGCTAACTGGCCTGCTTCATCTTCACCTATGATTCTTCACTGGTGCCCCGCCAGTGTATACCGATAGCACGGGTGGGGTTGCCATTCCATTATCACCCATTAAAAAAAATGAGACACTGCTTATATTTATTTATTATTATATATGTAATATTCCATATTCATCATGAAAAAAAAAAACAAACTTGACGACTGACGACTAGCACGGTCACTATATGAAACCTATTTACAGGTGCATCTCTTATTTAAATGCAAGTAAACAGTAAAGTCAAATGGTCGTGTCGGTTCGATCCGGCCGGGCCAGTGTCAAGTCAATAAAGTTAATTTTATTGGTACGGCAGCCTCTATGCATGTAATCGACGGCACTCAGGGCCGGAGTGAAATTTCAAAGGGCCGGTACTAAATTAAGATATATTTTTATTTAATGAACCGTCCGTTTTGAGCTTCTTGCAGTTTTAAAAACTATTTTGTTTGTTGATTTTTTTTTTATACAACTTAGAATGGCAAATAAGCTGACGGCCCACCTGATGGAAAGTGGAAACCGTCGCCTATAGATATGAGCAGTACCATGAACATAACAGAGTATACTGTTTCGCTCATGATACCCCCCATGCGTTGCCATTCCTGAGGGCTCAGGTGTTATTCTTCTGTACCCAGTAAATTCACGCTATATCCAACCCTTCAAACCGAAACACAGCCATGCAAACACAACTGCTTCACGGTAGAAACACGAATGGGACAGAGGTACCCAAGCAATCGACTTTTGTACAAAGTCTCCCTCTGGTAATGTAGGCCTAATTATTTCCAAATATATGTATAAATAGCAAATAAATTCGCCCTGACTTATATAATCCGACCCTGGTACAGTCATTCGCAAGTAGTCCCAGAAACCAGTGTAAGCTTTTCTCTCAGCGATACCCTATAATGTAGATGATCTAGAAATATCTAATTTGTATGCAAAAGTATTCTGTGTATTGATTATTCACTTAAAAATATAGTTTAGGTACTAGCTTTTACCTGCGACTTCGTCCGTGTGACCGAGATATATTTACTGACCAGCATATATAGTAGCCGACATACTAAACATAATATCCTTCTCTATTCTACATTGTTTTTTTTTTATACAACTTAGAAAGGCAAACAAGCTGACAACCCACCTGATAGAAAGTGGTAACCGTCGCCTATAGACATAAGCAGTACCATGGACATAACAGAGTATACTGTTTCGCCCATGATACCCCCGTGCGTTGCCATTCCTGAGGACTCAGGTGTTATTCCTCTGTACCCAATAAATTCACGCCATATCCCACCCTTTAAACCGAAACACAGCCATGCAAACACAACTGCTTCACGGTAGAAACACGAATGGGACAGAGGTACTCAAGCAAACAACTTGGTATGCGGTTTTATCTTTGTATGCGGGGATGGTAAACGGTTGGTAATTGGTGGTACATACGAACCGTCAACGGTGAAGAGTCGAACAGGCGGGCTCTCACCACACAAAACACTATAGCCGATATAATAAATGTTCAAACACCATCTTCTACAATTGATAGATTAGAAACAGTCTGACCCCAACTTTAGATGTTGCGCAAGAAGCCAATGCCTTTTTACCTGCGTCCACTAGGGCTGGAAAGCCTAGAATACGTATGAGATGGAACAAACACGTAAACACATTCATCATGCGTCAAAAATATGCCATGAAAGAAAGAAAGAAAGAAATAATTTAATCAAAGAAGCATGCGGCGCACACAGTAGCGCACAAAACAAGAACAAAAGAAATCAAAACAAAACAAACAAAAGAAAATAATAATTGTATACAAATAGAAAGCAATTAAATTATAATAGTAATCAATAAACAAACAAACAAACAAACAAACAGTAGGATAACTCTTGAATCCAACATCGATCTCAAACCAAATCTATTTTTTTTTTGATGGGTGAAAATGGTATGGTGACCCCGCCTGCGCTAACGCGATACGCTGGCGGAGCACCAGTGAAGGGTGATTGATGAGGATGAAAACAGGCCAGTTAGCCCATCATAATGAATTCATCAGGAATTAACCATGATAGTTTCCAGGGGGAACCGCGAGGAGGTCGACCTGGTTGGGTATATTGCTAGCAATGGGATTCTCAGTCTCCATTACTAACAATCCCTTTCCCCCAATCCAAATCTATTGCTAATGACAATTGAATACTGCACTCATGTAACAACAGTTAGGAATTAGCTACAATTAGGATCGGTTTACAACAGTTTGCATTGGCAAGTTGCACCAATAATTCAAGAGTGTGAGTTCTCAATTCCAATATCGATGTATTTGAATTTATTTCAAGAGCGACCAGCGGCATATACGAATGTGTACGCATGCGCGCGTGTGCGTCGCGATGTTCTGTGATGTAGGTCCGTGCTCAGCATATTGCTGCAGCGCTTGAAGCGCTACAGCGCTGTTCTTCAGCAAGAACCAGAATTTTTCAGAATGTTTTTCAGAATGAACGTACTTACATATCCAAAACTCAACCAGTCCCTGTTCAACATGCCATCGATGAATCACAATTTAATCATTCAAATTATAAATCATTGTTATAACGTACCGTCAGATAGGTCAGCACACGTTGATAATGATGTCTCGTCACGACCAAATATTGTTGTCGATAGAGTCGAACTTGGGACTTAATTGTGGCCTATATGAATACCATATGTCTCTTTCGTAGACGCAATAACACATGCCTAATGTACTGATGTAGGAGAGAAGGGATTGTTAATAATGGGGAGGTTAGTCCTCATTGTTATCATTATTCCCATCAGGTCGATCTCCACGCGGTTCCCCCTGGAAACCATCGTATTCTAGTTCTCATCCTATAAAAAACTGCAAGAAGTTATAGAATTTATTCAGATATCTATAGGAAAGTCTATCCATGTTGTTAAATTATTTAATTCATAATTTCTAAAGCCTTATTCTCTTTTCTTTCCAGGCCTGTCTGCAGAAACTGCGTGGTATCACCCACCGGATCATCGCCACCTCCTCTCCACGAGCAGGCATCTTCACCGCCGCCGCCAGCGCCGTCATCACCCACCAACTCACCGAGACTCTTGCCCTCCCTCCCATCACCGCAGCCAAGCCACAGCGGCTCCTCAGTACCTAGCCAATCGAATTCCCCCCACCCGTACTCCTACCCTAACTTTCGGAGAAGTCAACCAGTCCAAAGCCAGAACTATCCAGACTACAATCTGCTGCATAGCCATAGCGTTTCTCAGATAAATCAACCAGGTCATAATTACCATTCCCCCCAGTCTCCCCAGTCTGCGATGTCGTTATCCCCCCATCCTGTTCCTCAGGGAAAGTTCAGGGGATTGTTGGAGCATGCCGAGAGACTGATGAAGCCTGGCGATCCCCACAGGCACTCCCAGTCCGACGATGACTCGGGCTGTGCCTTGGAAGAGTATACATGGGTCCCGCCAGGACTGAGACCTGAACAAGTAAGTGACTAGTCATTTCATATTTTTTTAACCGAATGAATGAATGAACATTTATTTGACAATCCAATATACTGTGACATCGGTTGTTATCAATCATCAGAGTTTCTTATTTCGACTATTTTATTTTTATGATCAGCAATATCTTTGCCGAATTCTGATTAAAAAAAAGCTAAGGGTTTTTAAAAAGGGGGGTTTTTTGTAATTATTCATATTTTCTTCAATATTGTAGAAATACTTTTGTTCTATCACCAATAGTTTCCGCAGCGCACGTGACGAAAGATAGTTTTATAGCATTTTTTACACCTCAAGTTACATTACTAAAGTTTTAGTAAGGATCCCTTATCTTTTCTAGCAATAAATATAGCCTATGTTACTCAGGGTGAACGTAGCTTTCTAATGGTGAAAGAATTTTTGAAATCGACAAAATAGTTTTTGAGTTTATTCATTACAAACATACACACACAAAAATACAAACCTTTCCTCTTTACAATATTAGTAATCTAGAAATCTATATCATTCTTTGAAGGGCATAAAAAAATGTTTTCATTCATTCATTTATAAATAAGTCATTAATAAAAATACAATGCAACTTAAAAATGCAAAATTCAGAAATTTAAACATGCATTTTATTCATGAAAAAAAAAAAAAATAAACGTCCACTGTGATTTATTGTCTACATTTTTATAGAGTGGTCACCATTGTAGTGGTCGGAGTGTTCCCGTCTCTGTGCGTTCACAGCTCCATTGTTTTTCCATGCAAAATTTGTACGTCTCTGACACAGCGGTTGGCTTTTTCATAAGGAAAGTGCTCACGGTACCTGCTTATTTTTTACCATATTGGAAAAAATGTTTCTTGTATTTTATATATATTTTTTTATACTAGTTGTTGCATAAAGGAATTTAGGTAAAATATTGACTTTCATTGCCTACTTCATCTCACACTTAGGTTGCTGGTTCAGGGCTCCGGTAATTCGCATTATCGTTGTCTATTTTTCCTCGATTTATGTGTACACGAAAATAAACAGTAAAAATAATATATAATCCCTAAACTCACTCCAAATAAACCGAAGACTTACACTTATTTTCAAAAACTGTCGTACAGGTCGATGTTTCTTTTCCCGCGTCAAAGTCACGCTATGGTTGCACGGCGTCCGCAACAGAGGGCAGGAGTCTCCATACATCCCCGTAGTGATTCAATTACAAGAGCGATATATATACATGTGTGTGTATGTACGTGCGTGCGTGCGAGCGTGCGTGCGCGCGTGCGTGCGTGCCTGTGTGTGTTTGTTATGGAATTGTGAAAGTGTAGTGCCCCGAAGTTATTAAAAATATTCCAAATAAATTAAACACTAGTTATTACTTTCATCTGCGTGATTGAAATAAAACCAAATACTGTTATACCAAATTTATTGATGGCCAGCATTTACCCGCTACTTAGTTCATTAATCGGGATAAAAAACATTCATCCCAATTAATAATAGCAAATTTCATAATGATGTATTAAGCCGTTATGGCGCCAAGAAGTAATAATTTACAACTCGCGCTCAGCCTGCCGAGGCGCGATGTCAGACTCGTGCTCGCGTCACAGTCGCTCATAATTAAAGATCACGAATTGATTCCGAAACTAGTCGAGCTTTTTCGATCTAATTACACGTAAATTAAACCGATAGTTATTACATTAAAATATAATTTGTACTAACAAAAATTTTTAATTATTATTTATATATTTTTGTTATGCAACTTAGAATGGCAAACAAGCTGACGGCCCACCTGATGGAAAGTGGTAACCGTCGCCTATAGACATGAGCACATGGACATAATAGAGTATACTGTTTCGCCCATGATACCCCCCATGCGTTGTCATTCCTGAGGTCTCAGGTGTTATTCCTCCTTGAATTTACTGGGTGCAAGTAAATTCACGCCATATCCCACCCTTCAAACCGAAACACAGCCATGCAAACACAACAACTTCACGGTAGAAACACGAATGGGACAGAGGTACCCAAGCAATCGACTTTTGTACAAAGTCTCCCTCTGGTAAACATCCCCCTGACTCGGCTTTTAGTGTTTTTTTCTTCTATGTACAGAGACATTCGATCTCTTCAGTTTTATTATATATATAGATTACGAAATTCTACCATAATCGAGGTACCTAAATCACCAGCGCGGGTGATAGCGACCATTAGTGACAGGATCTTGAAGCCCAATTACTTACAATATACCCTGTTTTTTTTTTTATGGGTGAAAATAGTATGGTAACCCCGCCTTCGCTAACGGGATACGCTGGCGGAGCACTAGTGAAGGGTGATAGATGAGAATGAAAACAGGCCAATTGGCCCATCATGATGAATTCATCAAGCATTAACCATGATAATTTCCAGGGAGAACCGCGAGAAGATCGACCTGGCGAGGTATATTGCTAGCAATGGGATTCTCAGTTTCCATAACAATCCCTTTTTCCCCTAATATACCCTGTTAGGTCGACACATGATAGCTAACCTGCTTTCAATGTCACTTATCCTTCACTAGTATATTACTAGCATGTATATACCGATAGCGCAGGCGAGGTCACCATTCTATTTTCATCCATCAATAAACTCTCCGTAGCCAAGCGACAGAGATATCACTGCAATAATAAAATATCTATATTGAAACGACGTTAACTTTACATATTTATATTCTTTATTGCACCAAAACATATAGTAATAACATAATTAGCAAAGGCGAACTTGTCTCTAAAAGAGATCTCTTCCAGTCAACCTAACGCAGTGGCATAGGAAGTAGTGAGTGAGGCAATAGTAGTGCTAAACAGAAATTATATATATATATATATATATATATATATATATATATATATATATATATATATATATATATATATATATATATATATATATATATATATATATATATATATATATGTAAGATAAATAAAAGAGAACACAATGATGACAATCTTCTAATCAATTATATTTCAACAAAATTGGAAAGATAGAATGATTTTAATCTTTTCTTGAAGGAACTGCTAGACGGGCTGTTCTGAATACCCAATTAATGTACAATAAATATTACCAACATAACAACAACTAACAAGGCAACACTTACCAAACGCATTCTTCCGACACTTGATTTCTCGCGCATAATGACGCTCTGCTACCATAAAACGTATACGTACGTTTTATATTAAAATACATGGGAAAACAGTAAATTACATTAACAGTCGTGTTTACGATACTGTGTTCTATAAAACGATATTTACCGCATTCTATTACAAGCGCCGACGGTAAATTATTTGAGTATTCGACTGTTTCATAAATTGTGGTGATTGTGGTATAAAATTTGTTGAACGATAGCCGCCATGTTGTGGGTATATAAATTGTCTTTGTGAAATTGTAGCTAATGGCGTGTTGACATAGGAAATTACTGCATTACAGCTTCAATATAATTAGCCAGCCAGAACAGTTTTAACAAAACAATCAAACATAAGTTTCATAAAATAATTTCTTGTATAACAACTTGTATATATATAAACATATTTATTATTTCCTAATAGAAACAGCTATTAAGAGACTACCGACTAAACAGTCTTTCAAAAAAAGCGTTCACGCTCACTTTTTATTTTTATCCGAGCAGTAAGTACTTTATATTATTCTCAATTTCGTGTATAATATAGTATATGTCATATATGTGTAAGTATATTTGTTATTTATATATATTTATTCGTTTATATATGTAATTTTAGTATGTATGTATATCAATAATTAGTAGTACCGCATTCGAGTATTCTGACACTTCCCTGTGGTTGACTGGGAGAGAATGCTTTTAGCATTAAGTCCGCCATGTACACATATTTGTACTGATGAATAAATAAATAAATAAATAAACAGCTATACTGTTTCCTCCTCTTATTGTACGCATACTGCCCGCTGGTAAATAATGCTCCTTTCCACTCAGGGTCTGCTAGAAGAGAACTCTTACAGAGTTAAACTCACCTGTTGTACATCTTTATTTTATATAAATTATATGTATGTAATTGTTTATGTCTAATAAAGTATAAATAAATAAACTTTCTGATTATTTAATTATATTTATTTTGTTTAATTCCGCTACCATTAGTACGTGTGTGACAGCCAACATTCGAAGATTGACCGCCACTATTACTACCAGAAGTTTCACAACCTTCCATATTAGCCATCAATCTCCGACTGCCATTTTGTTTTCGCGCGCATTTTGAACAAGTGTTTGACCTCTAAACGAGACATCTTCAGGCAAATTATTAGATTGCTGCTCGGAGCCTAGTATTTTTTTTTATGATGGGTGAAAATGGAATGGTATCCACGCCTGCGCTATTGGTATACACTGGTTGGGCACCAGTGGGGGATGATAGATGAGTATGGAAGCAGGTCTGTTAGCCCATCGTGACGAATTCAACGATAAATCAGTCATGATGGTTTCCAGGAGGTACCGCGCCCGTCGGAAATGTGGTGAGTGCGAAAGCGAACCCATGTCTCCGACATATGGCACCTCGAGGGTATATCGTCTGGTTTTTAGTGGGTACACCCCCACCTTACGGGGGGATTCCCACAGTACCCATTCACCTCCCACAAGGTGTATGGGTCTGCATAAAGCATTTTCCAGACGTTAAAAAAAAGGGGGTACCGCGTGGAGGTCGACCTGATAGGGTATATTGATAGCAATGGGGACTAACCTCCCAATTACTAACAATCTCTTCCCCCCCGGAGCCTAGTATTAACTGTTAAACACCGAAACTGTGAATGACATTTGCATGTCAATCAAATAACCAGTGCTATGGATTTCCGCAAGATAACACCTAGTTCATTAATTTTATTTTATACAACTTAGAATGGCAAACAAGCTGACGGCCCACCTGATGGAAAGTGGTAACCGTCGCCTATAGACATGAGCAGTACCATGACATAACAGAGTATACTGTTTCGCCCATGATACCCCCATGCGTTGCCATTCCTGAGGACTCAGGTG